AGTTGTTAACCTGATACTCCCCTCCTCCCCCCCCCACCCCACTATTTTGTTGTTAACCTGATACTCATGCAGGGGTAAATGTATATTGTTTATTTGCTTAGTCAAGTTTGTCCCACCGATGCAGGAGCCCCAAAGGAAAACGCATTATGGAAATGTCTTTGAAAATCGGCGGAGAACACAAATAATGATTACAGAAAGAGAGCAAACAGCAGTTTACGTTAGGCTATTAGGCTAAATACATCCTTTTTAGAATGAAATAAATTTTCACTTTATTTTAAAACAATATAGTACTACAGTATGTTATACATATCAAAAGCTAAAGAGATTGGACAGGAATAACCTTCTTACTGAAAGCTTAAGCCGCAGACTTGTACGAAAAACACGATACTAAAAGTCATAGAAAAGGTAGGATTTATCATCATCTTTCCACCTTTTTTATTGTTGAAATGATTCTTAAAAAGAAAGTTATCAATACAAGACTAAGGAAAGTTGCTACTGTTGTTACCAGTTGAGTGAGGCACGGTAATGGTTTGGTGACGAGGTTTTGACCTTAAAACTACGGTGTTGTCTCAGGCCACCCTCCTCGTATCCAATGGCAACCATATCTTAGGAGGTGTGCGTCACCAACTGTCAAACGTAAAAGCCCGCCAAAAGAGGTCAAACGACACAGTGCCATTGGAAATGAAGCCAGTTACCCTGACAACAACACGTTTTTAAAATCAACACGTGGCTGGTCGTTTAATAGAATAATTCTAAATGACTGAGATTTTTCGTCAAAAATGACGACTTTCCATATGTGAAGACGAAATTGATTATTCAGTAGATAAAAGATCTTTGATTTGGAAACTGTTACAACTTTCAATTATCACACGGAAGGAAATTATCCTTTGCAAGTGCCACATGTCCTCTGACAGTATCCTGAAAAGATTGGCCTGCTGCAGTCTTTTGCATGCCGGCGGCAGTAAGAATCATCTAGAGAGTTCTTGCAAACTGTAGAAAAAAAGTTGTGATAAATGCCACTTAAGATATCGAGGAAACGATAGCAACTTGAAATTTAGATGAAATTGACCCAATTATTAAAATTGTTACCGCTCTCATTACTACCATGATTATCACGGACCTATTCCCACCAATGACTCCGGGTCGAAAGGCCTGGGTTCGAGAACTAGCTGGGTCAACAGTGCCTCTCTCCCCCCGGGAGTGTAAAACACACCAGAAAATTGTAACGGAAGCCTGATGAAAAGCTGTGGAGTAACCTTGTGATGACTGGCTTTAGATTCTC